CACTAAATTTGATGTTGTCGGATCATATCAAGCACCAACGATGGCATGAATATTCAACTTCCTATTCTGCAGTACACAATGTTTTAGGGATGCAGATTACCAGCGAAAAATTGCGGCGACGATCATAGGGTACAAAGAGGGCTTATGGTTGCAAAACAGGTGGTGGGTAGCAGGTGTGCGCTGCTCTCTGGCTATGGACATACCGGGTATGTCAGAAAGCGGTATTTGGCCAGACGTTGTAGCCCGGGCAGTTCAAACTCCTTCTGTGTCCTTCCTCCATGGTTACTGTAAGTTATGTAATCTCATAATTTCCCACGGTTAAGTCCAATCCGTGCTCGCTTGGCACAAATTCAACATAGTGATGGTGTTACTGCCTGCTGTCTTCATGGTCTTGATGGTATTTTGGAGCATTATTAAAACCAAAGCCAGCTACAAGAAAGTCCAAAACTTTCAGTGTCAATATTAACGGGCAAACACACCTGGAAGAGACATATACTTTGTTCCTATATTATAATTATCGCATTATAATTATCGCTGTAACTGTTTTATCGTAGTATTGGAAATTATGAATTTTGCATTGCCAGTGAGTTCCCAATCGACAATATTCACCCAGGTAATCAATAACTTATGGCCAGGGATAAGTTTTATTAAAACAGAGAAAAATTCTGCATGTTTCTGTAAGTTTTGATAATGTTTAATAAAAGGTGTAATTTTTCCGAAATTTGGAAATTCTTCTTGACCATTTGTAACTTCTCCTTGACCATGTTCGTCATTACCTACCATCTATCTCTTTAACAGTTATTTCTAATGCCACCCTGCCCTTGGATATCGATTGCTGGGTTCCTGTATGTCAATTTTGAAATGGCCACAGGTGTCTAAAGGCACATTTTAATTGCGAAAATGCCAAGCGTTTTTCGGAGTCAAAATTAGTGCTTCTGTGCTGAAAAACTTGAAAAATGAGGCTATTTTGTTTCCTCTGAAAACAAAATCATTCCTTTTGTCTTTATTTATTCGTAAACAAAGTGCTTTAAAGGCCACTGTAGAAACCATTTCTCGATATCGCAATAAGAGAGACTCCACCTCCGCTCGCATACGGTGTGCACGCAGATTTTCTAAGGTATCGTAGAGGAAATAAATTGAACCACAAACAACATTTTATGAATTAAGTTAAAAAATAAGAGTTGAACAACAGCGAGGATAGGATAATTCTAGAAGGTGAGCGAGCAATCTTTATTTCGATCGGAAAATGTGATAACTACCGCGATAGTGTAGAGTAACCCATCATACATGTAGGGGCATGTAAATTCGTTCGGTCTGTCCAATCTGTCAGGGGGGGGGAAGGGACATTTCTTGAGCTAAGGGAGCCTTTCCCATCCCTTCTCTCAGATTTGAAATTGAGGGGAAAAAAACCAAATCACTTTACCGTAAACCCACCGCATTTTCCAGTCCTATAGGGTTTTTGCGCACGGTGTCAAGTGGCTTCCGTATAGGGAACTCTTTCCAAGTTGAATTTTGAAAGTGGCCCGGGCATGATATGAGTGGCCGATTGATATCTAAACCGTCAGCTTAAAGTTACTGGTTTTAATTAAACAACTTTGATACAATGTATGCTCGAGTCATTAATATCATAGCGCGAAGTTACTGTATGGGAAGTAAACTGTGGCAAGACTAATTGGATCAGCATTGTGCCAAGGCTTGAAAATTGCCTCCCATGTGATTATGATTAGTCCAGCTGTTGGGTGCTGAAATTGTAATGGCTTGAATTTTTCATAATTCTGGGGAATTACAACATGGTAATAAAACCAGTGCACACTGCTTTGTCAAAACGCACAATTGGGCCAAATTAGCAAACTCAACGATCGCTGACCTCCAGTGTAACAAGAGGTCAGAAATTTGAAAAAGTTGGATCCAAGAGCATCAGGGGAACCTGTTGGTATGTATGTATATGTATCAAAGGCTATGAGAATTGGTTTCCAAGAAAAAGTTGACCACTGTGGCATTTTACAATGCCTGTTTGGAGTTGTGAAATCAATAACTTCGGATGAGGATTTGCATGGGCCTAGCTGTGAAAAAAAAAGATTGTTGGTGGTTAGATAACTTCTAAGAGTTTCGTATGTTTTTAGATGAAACTCTTTTTATCCAGGACGTCTTTTAAAGGAACCAAGAAATGAATTTTTCTTAGAATCACTTTTGTGTATCTCTGTACTCTTCTTCCATGTGTGAAGGCTGTTGGACATCTTTTTTGAGTTACATGAAGTGAACGGTGCACTTTTTCAAACATTAAGAACTGACCAAGCATTTCTGGACAAGTGAGGGCGCTTTTGCTTTGATGTAAATCCAGGAAAACATGGTTCAGGTTGCATGTTTTCATGTTTGAATTGTGAATCCCATATTTGCTGGGAACATTTCTGTGAAAAGGATGTTTGCTGGATTATTGCCATATACCGGTACATGTACTTACTCAGCAACAAATTGCCAAAGAAAATTAAATCTGCCATAGCAGTGGTTACAAAACTCTAGAAATTTTCTGTGCACAAATCAGTGCAACGATTGAGATTCAGTGCCTTGGATGACATCATAGTTCTAACATGAATATGCAAATATGCATTAGCATAAAAACCAAAACACATCAAAATATGGGTTAAAAAACTGCAACACCACAATTCAAAATCAGGTTAATTGAGGCCCAAAGATGGAATTTCAAGGATTTTAGTAAAATTTATAAAAATATTTCTATTTCCTGGTTCTTTTAAGCAAGTTGTGAATGTGCTTTGTCTACATCAATTTATTTTGCAGATTCAACAAGTATAGAAAGAAAAAATCCCCATCATGTCCTCGCAAGTGTATAGTGACGAAGCTCGGATCTACCCCAGCATATCTGTAGTAGAAAACAGAACAGACGATATACAGGTAAGACTGAGGGTTGTTCAACATTATTATAGGTAGCTTTATATATGGTTTCAAGGGCAGATTCAGAGCCTGGTTTTGGGGAGGACATCAAATCTTTATACATGTAGGATCTTGCTCATGTGATCGTACGGCCTTTTTGAGGTATGAGGCTAAACTTGGGGTTTTGGACATGCTTGGGAGGACTTCAGGGAGACAAGATACACTTTACATGTAGTTCCTGAGAGTTGTCGTCCACTCTTTTTATTTGACAAAAACCAAACAAAATTTGCCTTTTAACTTCGGCCCCTCCACCCATAGGGAAAATTCTCAAAAGTATTTAACTTCTCTGTGAAGTTCCAACAGTTTATTCCAACACTTTCTGAAATCCAGTCTTAAGAAGTTACTTCAAACTTCTTTGACTTCCGAAACACAACTATCGAAAACTTGATATCTTTGGCAATCCCAAATTCGAAACCAGTATTTGTCCTTTTGTTTAGTGGCAGTCGATAGCAACCCAAAATTCTTTTGTGAGTTCGCTCAATTGTAGCAGCGCTGTTGTGGCCAAGCTGGTCGGCAAGGAAATACCGGCACTTTATTGACAGGAAATTGATTGCGATACCGGTTTTGGTCACTTCAATGGAAGGATATCCTGGATTTGGCCTCTCTCAAAATTGAAGTGGGCCAAGGGTTGAAGGTTGGAAGGTTGGGCTTTCCAAGCTGCAACAGTCACTGTTCCATGGGTCCAGAGGTGTGTATAGGAACAAGCCTGGAAGGGATGATTTCAAAATTCACCAGGATCAAGGTATACATGTACGTACATGTAGTGTAGTGAGCTCAGTTTTAAGTCACCAAAACACAATTTTTTTTTTTCAAGCATTAGGCCATGAATGAGTCATGGGGCCTGTTATGGTTGAAAAAGAGGCTAGACTAGCGAAGCATTTATTTTTCAAGTGCAGTGCTCTTTTTTTCTAATGTGGTACCTGTATAACTTGTTTTGCAGGGGGGGTATCTGGGGGCACTTGCCTTACATTGTAAAATGTACGTGTATGGTACTGCAGTGCATATTGCATTGCCTCAGCTATGTGCTCCAGTAAGTAAGAGGTTAGCCGGACATGGGTTTTTGTGTGTCTAGAGGGTGTGGGAGAACAATAAATGGGTTACTGGAACCACCCCCTTCCACCCACAGAGAACCAACGACCTCTTGCTAAAAGCAGAGGGTGGTGTACTCATAGGGGTGTGTACACATACATGTACAAACCGGAATATCTACTTGCGTTTTCAGCCCATTGTTGAATTCCGACTCTGGGCAGTGGTGCAATGACACAAGGGCTCTATTGTTGTCGGACTCTGACCTGTCATCTTTTCCGACAACGTTCTTTAGACATAAACGTGTGCTTGTTTTGGGAGGGGATCAATATGTTAAAGGGACTCAGTGCCCTGACCTTGAAAACACAGCTGCGTTGGCACGGCTGGATTGTTGACATGGATAAACAGCAACAAAAGGAGTTGCCAATTGTTGTCGCTTACTCGAATTCCGGATACATTTTCAGCTGGCCGACTAGTTTCCAAGAAATTCCCTTGTGATTTTTTTTCCCTTTTTCACGGCCCAGACTCTTCACACCAACAAAACAGGGGCACCTTGTTCCAGTTAGCCATTTGTGAGTTAAATTTGAATAAAATCTGGTACACTGAGTAATCTGAGTGCACATGCATGTAAACATAACGATTTGAATTCCCCAGACTAAAGACACCGTTGCTATACCGCCGTGATTCGGGTCAAGGTTACTCCTAGACGTGAGAAGCTATTACAGTGATTATAATGTACAATTGTGGGCATTTTTGCAACTGATTTTTCACTTATTGACTGTTCCTTAACAATCTGCTGGTTGGTACAGCTGAATAGTTGGATATTCGATTGAATTGAAGGTCGAATATTCGAATAGTGAATCGTTTGAATTGACTCAGCCCTACTGTAACTCGCAAAAGGCTTACTGTATCTCAATACACATTGTGCAAATGTGTTGATTTTTTTGTTTGACGTTTCTTCCCGAATCCTGTGACTATAATGAAAAGTAACATACCGGTAAATGTCCTACGACATGTAGCAAACCTCTCTTAAACTGAAGTTTGGAATTTTCATGTAAAGTTACAGAGGTGCTTCAGGAAGTCTGTCAATGGGCTCCGAATTTCTAAAAAAAAGGAGACATTCAAGATGGATCAGTAAGTTTCTTGGAATCACCCTGAATGTGTTACCCTGGATGTGTTGTGTTCTCTGCCATTAATTTTCGGGGAAACTGATGATGGATAAATTTTGTCAGAAATGGTTTGAGAACCTTGTTAATGAACCGGTACTGGTACATTCATTCATTCGTTTTGGTTTATTTGTTTAACCCTCCTATGCAAAGATGCATTCTTGACACCGTTGTCGGATCCGTCAAAATCAGTCATATTCCCATATGTGTCTGTGTACTGGGGGAAATCAAGTGCAAGGAATTTGACTGTTTTTGACAGTTACAGTAGAAACAGGGTTAAATTAAAAACGTGACCAAATACATATACATAAAGTCCAGATGTTTAAACGATTTGGTGTACGATAAAAGAGACAATTACTGCTAGAATAAAATAGACAGCAAAAATTACTACTCGCAAATGGACCATAAAAAATTAAAATCTGTAAATACATTTAGAATATTTAATTAGTACAGTACATAAAAATGATTTACCACGAACCCTCCCAAATACATGTAATTACAACAAGCACATGCCTAGAATAAATACATGTAACAAAAAGTAAGACATTATATGAGAGTGTACGTCCATGTAGATACAGTAGCAATCGGTTTGTAGCAGTATTTTTGGTTTCACGCTTCAAAATGCTCAGAAATATGCTAGAACAACTACAGAGTAGAAGAGCAGTCGCAATCGGTTTGTAGTAGTATTTTTGGTTTCACTCTTAAAATGCTCAGAAATATGCTAGAACAACTACAGAGAAGAGCAGTCGCAATCGGTTTGTAGTAGTATTTTTAGTTTCACGCTTAAAATGCTCAGAAATATGCTAGAACAACTACAGAGAAGAGCAGTCGCAATCGGTTTGTAGTAGTATTTTTAGTTTCACGCTTAAAATGCTGAGAAATATGCTAGAACAACTACAGAGAAGAAGAGCAAGTACAACCATCCAACTTTTCTGGGCCCTTTATGCCCCATTGCAAGTGTGTCCAACATGTAATAGTTATCCCATTGTGTGGAAATACCCACCTACTAGTACTGTACATTCGTGTAATGTTTGTATAAGCCCAGTAATAATTAAGAATTGCTTCAATAAATTTGCTCAATTCATTCAAACGCCTTCAAAAAGCCATCACAACTAAATTCAAGCAAGAAAAATGGTCCGACGTTTAACAACCAGCTTGTCGGAAGTTTTGGAAGCTCACTTCATGCATGTGCGTGCACAGGTTTGTTGGCACAGGTGTGTGCATTTTCAAGGTACCGGTAATGCGGCAACCTGTGCCTGTGCACAGTTTCATTTTGAGTGGCAGGACTGTTTTTTTTACATAAATGTATTGCGTCCAATTTTTTTTGTGTGTCCAGTTCATATACATGTATATGTACATGTACCGTACAGTTTTGCCTTTGGTTCAGTACAGTTTTCAGTTTCCAGATAACAGATCAATTGGTGTATACATGAACATGTATGTACATGTAGCACAGAACAGGCACGGTACAGTGCCTGTATGCCTCCAGCCTCTGGCTGTAGCTGGCAGATCAGTTGCTTTGGCATTTCAAAATTTTATCCTAAACGTTGGAGAGAGCAGGAGAAAGTATTCGGATTCAAAATATTTTTTTTAAAGGAAAGCCACCATACTCCTTCCCCCCCCCCGAAGAACTTGCACCGAGAAAGAAGCGTACAGTGCAAGTTGATCAATTCTGCAGAGAATTCATGAAGCATCAGGATATTTAAATCTTACTAGATTTGATCACATCTGTCAAACCAGGAAATCAAAAGTAAGGGGAACTTATGTCAGTCATCAATAAAAACCATTTAAGTGGGCACTACGAACTTCTGAACCACTCAAAAGTGTGCTCTTACCTAAAACTTACGCATGTTCCTGTGTTGCACTTGTTAAAAGTTAGACACACACTCGAACCTGTTGTCTCATGACGGACAAAGTTGTAGGTGGCTGAACCAAACGCCTTGTTGATGAGACGACTCTTGCTGGACATCTGTATCGATGGAAGTTGCGCAGGCTGTGCTGTCGGTACAGTAATTTGCTGCTCTAAGTTGAAAAAAAGGGAAATGTTCTGCCTCAAGTTCAAACATTTTCGCTCCTGCTATCCCTCCTCCCGTGCCCACCTACAGGAGGACGACCCGCCCAACGAGACGAAGGAGAAAAATGGTGGGGCTTCTGTGGTGGAGGTGGAGGCCAACGCCAACGCCGTCAGCCTGGAGATGGGCGAGATCGGGGCAGAGACTGGGGCCGAGCAGGAGGCCGATGTGAAGGAAAAGGCGCAGGCCATCCTGAAGGAACTGAGAGGGGATCTGACTTACGCCATCGAGGACGTGCCTCCCTGGTATAACTGCCTACTGCTGGGTTTTCAGGTGAGTCAGCAAAGCTCATTGCATTTAGCTCATCCAGAGTTGTACTCAAGTTCTCTGTGAGTACTTCTCTGTGAGTACTTCTCTGTGAGTACTTCTCTGTGAGTACTTCTCTCTTATTACATTATTGAGCTGTTTGTTTTGAATGCAGAGAAATATTAAGAGTAGATAGAGAATGAAGAAAACTCAGTGGACTTGTTGATTTATACAAATACTTTTTACACACTTGGAACTTCTTTGTTGCAAATTCTGAAATACGTTAACGCCCTCAGTCATAATCCTACGGTATTTAGCACTTCCTTGGTCAGTGTAGATCTTTTCACATGTCAGAATTGGCCATCCTGTGCCGTTCCCTTTCAAAATTTGAGGGGCGCATTGGCATGTAGATACTTTTAGCGCCATACCCTTTTCCACAAATTCTCAGTCTACAGGTACGTGCCTTCAAAGCTCCCAGCACCTCGTACAAATACCAGCTTTCTATAAACTTGTCAAGGCCCGGTACTTTCGTGTTGAGGACCATTGATTTTCAATCTAGAAACTTATCGGAACTGCCATGGTTTACTTTTCTGAACGTTTTTCCCCTGAATTTCAAACAGATCGTCCCCAGAAGTCTTCTTTAATTAATTATCTCCAGAGGTTCAAAATGAAGTTCAGAGAATTTCAATTTGAAGTCCTGAAAAATGAAGCAGTTCTAACTTTTTTATCGGTAGGGAAGGCCGTGCCCTGAAAATTTTCTGTCAAAGACTAACCGCATTTGTCCGCTGAAGGGTACCCCCTCAAATTTTTTATTTGCTTGATCTGCCACAGTTGACCTGAGGCGTGACTAGTTATTTGAACCGTAAAAGGATTGATCAAACAAAAATTGGCCTTTGGCTGTCCTGCCCAGAAATACAAGAGGACGGTTCACCAACTTAGGTGCAAACATTTATCGTTGGCTTTGCCCTGCTTTGTTGAACATAGTACCTGTTTGCATCTCAAGGCCAAGTATCACTTACACATTGTTGACTCTGCTGTTGGATGGTAGTACTGAATTGACATCCATGCCTTCCATTGAGTCCATTGATGAGCCTAGTGTAGAGGCTTTTGTGAAAGGTATTACTCACAATGAATTGATAATGATAATAATAATAATGATAATGGAGATTTGTGAAGCGCATGTATCCACCTAATGAAAGGCGCTCAAGGCGCCAGATGCACAGAAAAATAACAACAAATATGTATTAAATATGCAGTAAAAAATGCAAATACTGAACATATACTAGAATTAGTCTTACATAAACAAAGAAAAATTAATGAAACACTAATTAAATGCCTGAGCCATGGTGATGGGTCTTCAGGGATGTCTTGAATGAATGGAGTCAAAATTGCCATATAGGATCACAGTAATTTGTAGCACCCAGGCCTTGTAAGTTTGTGCCATTTTTTTAAAAAGAATTACATCCATAGCTTTGCAGTGTAGCAGGTCCAGCCCCTTCCATATAATAGAGTTGATGTGCAATAAGCCATTTGTGAGATAAAATTTGAATAAAATCTGGCACACTGAGTTATTTGATTGTGCACAAATGTAACAATTTTAATTCCCCAGACTAAAGACGTTGGTGCTATACCTCGTGATTCGGGACAAGCTTTTTGCATAGCTACCACCATCTCTGGAATGGACTGGTTCCTTTGTGCCCTTCTTATCCATTGGGAAGAGTGTATTGTGCAAGGCGTCTCTTGTGTAACTAAGCAAAAGCTTGCCCCAAATCACGAGGTATAGCAACAGTGTTTTTAGTATGGAGAATTCAAATGGTTATGTTGTGTGAAAAGAGGATGGTGCTTTCCCATTCAGTGACACTTCGTCTCTGGTGACTTGCAATAACTCCTTGTTGGAGTTTGTAAACTCTCACGTTTTTTATGTCCGAAAATTTTGATTATGGGCGAACATAAGAACGAGACCAATCATTTGGTTTATTTGTCGGTTGACTGGTGGTGTGGGTAGAGGACTGTTTTTCAAGTCCTCTTGAATTTAAAGAGCTCAGTGTACCAGATTTTATTCAAAGGTCACTCGCAAAAGGCTTGTTGGATGTCTTGTGGCACTGTAAAAAAGAGGTCCACTTCACATACAATTTGAGGAGTGGGTTTTGATTTAAAGTACAGAAGCAATGTGATGCTAGGCTAACAGACCTATACCTGTAATTAACTGTATCGTTTTCACATTTCGTGAGATTTGAAAATGAATCCCCTGAGAGGATAAAAGAATTTCTTATTCCCAGGTTAACTTTCAATTTCAATGCACTTTAATGGACTCCGGTGTTCTTTTAAGCCTCTTCAAGTTCCTCAGGAGACTGATTTTATTTTTGGCAACTACATGGACGTGTAGGATGGGGAGGGTGGCCCCAGTTGTGGGGGATTTGGGTTTTATAAAGTTTCTTTGCATTGTTCAGTTTCTTGACACAAATATGCTACTGTACTAGAAAGTTTACACCGGTAAGCTTTAAAATTGTGGGCTAAATTTGGATGTACTTACTGTACATCTGGTACAACGAGTTTTTAAAATTAATGTGAACCTAACGATATGAATTCTGCACTGTTGCTATACCTCGTGATTCACGTTTGCATTTTGGGCTCGCACCATAGAACATCATAGCGAGCGTGTGTAGGCAGCCCCTTTATCCATTAGTGGCATTGGGAGGTGAGGGGATGGGATCCGGAGGGGCTTTGTACGTGCCGAAAAGTCACGCACAGAAAGGCATTATTGTCAGCACAGGCAGGTTCATCTGGGCTCAGATCCACACTGACAATGGGAATGGGTGTGGACGGATGTGGGCCTCAGTCTGTAGGAACCTGAACTGCTATTTGTGATAAATTTGAGCACCCACTTTCACTTTTGAGCTCTTTGAGAATTCAAAGGATGTACATTTACAGTGTTATTGTACATCCTGTTGTGAAGTTCCGCACGTACGAGTTCATGTCACATTTTCTGACATCTACATGTATCCCTATGTGTAAAACCTGTCATGTTATTAATTTTTCAGTCCACTGAAGTGCGCGCTGAAATGCACTTGATAATGATAACGATTTAGTAAAAACAAGGATCAGATAAGATCTGCATAACAGGAAGTGTCGTGTGTACTTTGCAGGCCGATGAACCATTCTTTGCTGCTACATGTAACTTCATTGTCTTCAACCGTACAGTCCCGGTTCACTGACTCGATGAGCTTGATGCTTTGTTCGCTGTTTTGTATGCGAGAAGAAGTCCGTTTTACTCCACAAATCCCCAGGCTTTCCAGGTCCTTGGAAAGCCACCGGGGAGGGGGTGTTTGGGAGGAAGGTTGACAGATTAACAAGACGGGGAAATGATAAATCCCCTCCAGTTATCTCACATAGGGGGTGGGGGGTTGCTGCACCCTGAAAATTCAAGGAACGCATCACCAGTTCCCCACACTGTGAAGGATTGGGGAACTTTCCACAGGAAGATTCAAGCAGGGCCCAATATACCGGGGTAGCACCATTTGTTAACCGTGAGTAGAAATGTTGTGTGACAGCAACTCGTGCGGAGCTGCCTGAAGCACCATTTCATGGACACCAAACGAATGCGCAAGCTGGATCACGGCGCTCTCTGTCGTCACGGCACCGATTTGGGCGAATGTTTCCTATGTGGTTGAGCTTGCTTTAAGCTGTGTGTACTGCTTAAAATGGAAAGTCTCGGTGAAATGCAAATGTACTATTGATGGAGGCCCCGTGAGCAGAAAAAATTGACTGTCAAAACACTGACATGTGACAGCATAATTTCAAAGGGGCATTCCCATTTGCCAAGCATTGTACGCATGCGCACATATTTAACGGGTACCTTTCAGGTGTCTGTTGGAACAAGAGCATTGTACGGACGTACATTCCACGCTACCAGCAGCGTATTAGCTTTATTCTTTGGTGATGCCAGTGTATTCAATTTACATGTACTGGGTACATGCCAAAAGCCTTTCATTTCCTACGAGTATATTATACTCGTAGTGGGCAGTCAGCGTGTTAAACAGTGCTCAGAAATGGGGCCCTATTCTTACCAGTATACATGAATTTATGGCCCTATAAAGTTGTGCTTTGCCCCCATGGAGCCACAAGGGACTAGGATGGTAACATACACGTAGAAAAAAAAGAATTAAAACCAGGGGGGAGGGAGGCCAAAGCTTTCTAAGCCCCCCCTATTGCACGGAGTTGTCTTTTGCCCATTTGAACCCTTTGTATCCTTGTCGGAATAAAATTCCAGTCCACTTTTGTTCAACAATGGTGATCTGAATCTGCCAATCTTTCTGCATTAAAGTGCCGTTTCCAAAGTGTTTCGATTGGCTGTGGAAACTGTACGCAATTTGACGGACATCTACAGTAGGATTTGTTTCCCGATTCCCAAAGGTTTGTCTTTGCCACCTTTTTTGTCTAGGGGGGGAGACTTGTCTGGCCCACGACTGGCTGACTTGATGATCTGACTTGATGATTGTGTAGTCCAGTTGTATTCCCCAAGTGTAAATACACAACATTCCAATAAACCTACCAGTGTACTGGTAGCACACACTTTGCAGTCAGCCAATATTATAGTCAGTCAAGAACGGGACCATAAATCTTTCACAGTTGGAGACGGTGTTGCCACGGCTGCGAACCCGCTGAACCCTTTTTAGATAACAGTGCTAGTACCTTAAAGAGCACCTCCAAGGAAAACTTGTTTTCTCTGATTTTATCTGTTCAACTAAATATGGAAGCATCCAAATCAAACGCAGTATCATTTAATTGTCTTCAGAGCTCAACTGTAACAAGCTAATAGGGTTTTTTCTGTTCATGCCAAGATGCAAATTCTGAATGTAGATCGCGTCATTGAGCAGAAAACAGAGAAGACGAAGGGAACCCGTGCCCTGTGTTCGTAGTGGATAAACCCCTGTGCATGCCAAACAGTGGCTGCATGCATTGTTTGGCATGCACAAGGTTTATCCACTACGAACACAGGGCGAGGGTCCCCACGTTTTCTGTTTTCATTGCATGTAGCCACTGTTTGGCATCTACACTCAGAATTTGCATCTTGGCATGAACCGAAAAAAAAGCCCTCTTTAGCTCGTTATGGTTGAGCTCTGAAGACAAATGACACTGCGTTCCATTCGGATGCTCCCATATTTATTTGCACAGACACAATCAGAGGAAACATGTTTTCCTTAGAGGGGGTCTTTAAAAACTTCATGGTCCAACCTGCTGTCCTTGTGAATCTGTGTTCCACCAGGCTAAATACATGGACTACTGTATATATATACAACCAATGTTGTTGATCCTTTGGAATTGCATTGTAAACAGACATGGGAGAAGTGAGAGGCATTGCAGAAACCTGAGTACACTGTACGTGTGTGACTGCTGCACTTTGTTAAACATAACCCTAGGCCCCTACAGGCAAATGTAAAAGTGAAAGTGACTTAACGTCATTGTTATGGAAAAGACTCGTTGTTTATAGTTATTAATACCTTTAGTTTGACATGGTTAAATTTTCAAGTATCTTTCATGTACTTGTATGTGTGTTGCATGTCTCTACAGTGAAAGTTGGTCTTGTGTTGGCACTCGTTGCTGACCACGGCAGTTTGCGATTTTACATAACCTGCTTCAAGGTTGTTGATTTTATTTAAACTTTGTTTTACACAATTTACGTGATCCATGCAAACACAGCAATTTTTTATTAAAAGTCTTTGTTTTTGTCTATTATAACAATTTAATAAACCTTATACATGTACATGTATAAATGTCCAACTGTTGACAGAGATAAAGTACTACTTCTGTTCAGTTGCTTCCAGTGGAAGCACATGTGCCCATACTTCCTTCTTACCGCTTCCCCCTTTGCCTTGCCCTTCCCTTCCTCCCTCTTTCCCCCTCCCTCGGCTTTAAGCTTTCATCCATGATGAGGCTTTTGATGTCTGTACCGTTTCCCATGTCTTCATCTCCCCACCCCCTCGCCCAACCCCTGCCCTCCCTCCCCTCTCCCGTCTGTCCCCCTCTCCCAGCTTTAAGCTTTTATCCGCGGTCAGATGAGGCCTTCGCTTCAAGTACTTTTACGTTTTGTCTCCCCTCCCTCACCCCTACTCCTGCAGCATTACCTGACCATGTTTGGCGCCACCCTGGCCATGCCTTTGCTCCTGGCCAGCTCGCTGTGCATCAAGGACAACCTGGTGGCCCAGGGCGAGCTCATCAGCACCATCTTTGCCGTCTCGGGCCTGGTGACGCTCCTGCAGACCACTTTCGGTGTCAGGTAAGTCTGTCTCTTTGCTGCACTTCTCTGACGTGTAAAAAGTGGTACGTGCAGGAGACGTTAATGTGGGTGTGGCTGAATCTGGGAAGAGGAGGATGTTGATCGAGCATCCTTATGATCAGTGATTGGATGGAGCTGGTTTTGGGGCAGAGATTGATAGGGGCCTGTCACCCCGTGTCCTCTTAAAAACAGATAGAACAGAGAATCAAGGGTGTAGGGTGTATTATGCGTTTGCATACATGTATCAGTACCCTGTACAGGTAGGTCCTTTTAATAATATTTTGTAGGGAGCAGTGACACCCTGTGTTACCGTAGATATTGCTTCCCCCCATGGTAGATCCAACAGTTATGAGAAGGGAGCCCACTTTCAAACAGGGGGTGCCTCGTATGGAGGAATTTTTAAACGTGAAATAACCAGCTGAGAGCAAAAGGGAAATGAAGTTTCTAGGGAACTAGGGAAAAGAAGTGTTTGAAAAAAAATCAAGAAAAAACCCTGGAGTAGGTGGAGGTGGACCTGGTGTGCCTTACCCCTAATCCCCCCTTGGATCTCGTATTGCTCCCCTCCCTTACCCCCAATGTTACATTGGAAAGTTCTGGACTTGGGTCACTTGCCTTCATGCAGAACATCTTTGTCCGCACGCGACAATTTCCCAACCGGGGCAAAGACAAAGGAGAGATAAGAGACTGATCACCAGAAATCTTGCCGAGCCTGACAATGTAACATTCACCCTCTTCTGTTCTCCCGGGGTGAAAATAACACCATGGTACTAGTGTATGCCTCTTCCACCTCACGTATCTGTCCTGTTGTTCACCCAGTTGTTTATAGGAAATGACTCGGGGACTGCAGGAAGCATGGCAGGTTGTGCCCAATGTTTCCTTTCTAAATGACTGCCAGCAATGAAAAACATCATCTCCTAAACCGATCCGTACTCCCATCAATACACTAGCCTGGCGCAAACACTTCAAGGCTGCATGTGGTGTTTTAATGTTATTTGTGTTAGCACTATCGATGTTGGACCTTCGATCTGTGGTTGACCATTTTTTTTTAGCTGCACGGAACATTCCTTTTATTGAGGAAGCAATTCTAAGGTCCATTAAATTAGAACGACTGAAATAACTCAAATAAGTTGATAAAAGGTGAAGGTGTCGAAAGAACAGTCGAGCTCTTATTTTCTGAGGCACCAAAGTGTACTGAAATATAAGGCAGTTTAAGATCAGCTGCATTGCTTTGACATAAAATGGTTTAACAGGGCATCGGTCATTGCTGCCCACATCATGACTGACTTGGCAGCTTCTCTTTGCATTTATGAAAAGATGGTCACTTTGGGATTTCAGTTCCACTGTGAGAATGCTCAGAGTAAAAAAAATGTTGAGGGCGCCAAACAAATCTAGCGACTCGATGTCATAATACGGCTCGTCCCCCAGAGTTTCCTTGACCTTGTGGCCATAATAGTGTGACGTCATCAAACTGGGCTTCTATTGGATAATCCCGACGACTTCTGCTTTCAGTTTGCTTTATATGAAAGAGAACTTCAACTTGTGCCTTTGACGTCAGTAGCAATCTTTATTTAGTTTTTACATAATACCGGTAGATACTTTGGAAAATATAACTGTGGTAAATTTCAGAAAAAAGTGACAATGTGAATTACCATCGTGATTGATCTTTAAGAGAAAGAATCTGGAGAATGCAAGTAGTTCACTCCAACCTGTGAGAATGCACCTTTGTGTTTCAGTTGACCTAATGGTGATTTCTTTTTGTTTTGCTGCTTTAAAAGGTATTTTGGTGCCTCTTTTAAAAATGCTGATTACATGTAGCACGTTCACAAGTACAGTGTTTGTCTTCTCTTGAATAAAACTATGATGCCATGTGGCCAGAATTGTTGCATTCATGCCCAAAAACTGCTTGAAGTTTTTTTGCATACTTTTTGCCGACCTAAAGTTTCATTTCTTTGGTAATCTGTTGTTGTGTGAGCCAACAAGAAGCCCTTTCTCAGAAATGTCTCCAATTAGCAAATTTTGGGTTCACAATTTCAGCAGAAAAGCACAGGAACTTAAGTAGTCTGTCCCTGATTGACGTCATGGCAACAGTGCCCTTTACCAGTCGTCCAGAAAATCTTGGACATCTTTAAAATGTGTGAATATGTGCACTTTTTGGTGTGCTTAACCCCAAAAAGGGTTTCAGACTTGTAACCTTCACACATTGCAGAAGAGAATAAAAATGCACCTAACGTGCGTCAAAGAAAATGTCATCGCATGGAACCTTTAAACCCGATGAATAAGACAGTATCATAAACCTTTGTAGGAAGTTAAAATGTTTGACACAATCCGCTTGCGTCACGTAGAGTGTACATGTACGTCTCCTTTATTTATTGTTATCAAAAGGTGATCACGTTTTAGCCTGCTAGACAGAGGAAAACATGCAGACAAAAACTCATATTAACAGATGTCTTGATACCAGTATCGCAGCTGTCTGCCTCCCCCTGTGTTGATTAATTGATTGATTACAATAGTTGCAAAAGAACAAGGAAAAAATCGGTCAACTATAAAAAAAAAAGCCTGATAGATTTAGACACTGTGGGATGCCAGGAAGTTTTGTAGTCTTGAACTTTCGATCGGGAGGCCCTTTTTAAAAAACTCCCAATGGCAAATTCCAAACAGCTGGTGAAAACGTGGTGACATGCTATGAAAACGTGTGCATCGTGCACATTTGACAGAACTGTGATGTGTATGGCCCCTGGCGATGACATTTGGCATTTTGTAATCTGAGCTTATAGACGGTAATATGATCAATTAACTGGCGTCGGGTTAAGATTGTACATGTAGCCTACATGTACTTCCTTGTACCAAGAGACGTGTGGCAATCACAGATGTTGCAGGTGTCAACCATCAGCCAACACCTTCTGTGTGCTTTTCTCTTTGTTGGTCACACAACAGGAACATGCACGTTCATGATCACCTCTCAGATTTTGCGGGGCAAAATTTGAAACCTGGTTGACGAACCCTGCTTTGGGGACCTAGCGCAGCAGTCCCCCTCCCCTCCCCGCAACGTTTGTCGCAGGTGCCGACGAGCAGCCATCAACTTCCGTCTGTGCATGGTTCTTTTTGCTGGTGGCACTGCAGACACAGGATAAATTCTCGGATTTGTGTGATCAAAATGTGAAACCTGGCTGAACTCTGCCGCTGTGGCCTGCGCCCAGTGGCAATATTTGAAGACCGTACACTTTTCATGATATAGGTTTACATTGCTCATGTACCTTTTCTCCTGGCAGATTGCTCTAAGTAATGCCGGAGATCTGCTTTTCTGCATTTAACTTGACTTCAGGTTCCTGAAATTGTTTCCCCAATTCTTCGATTGTTCTGGTGTCTTTCTGATCCAGCTGCCATTCCCCCATAGCGTAGGTCTCTTTCAACACTTGGTTTTCACAGTGCTTTGACCAGACACATACTGACCCACTTTGGTCTTCCCTGACTGGTGATGGACCAAGTTCATTGGCCATGGACCCCGAGTTGACACAGCTCATTGGTCGAGCACTCCCTGAGCCATCGTTCGTTCCAAACAGTACAAATGCAATCTTGTGTACTTTTGCTGCTAAAAAACTAAGGAATTCAAGGGCCAATCCAGAATCATTTTTCTTGGGGGAGGGCTAAAATTTTGGTTAGATTTTTGGGTGGGGTGAAAAATGAAGAATTTCCTGTGTAAAAAACTGTTATGGCCTTTCTGAGGGTGTGACGCCACATTTTGGGGATTATTTACATACCTGCACTTTTAGAAGGAAGGGAAATGAAACAGACAAGGTGTTTCCTTTCTATCACTAGTTTTGAAAACAAAATTTTGTTTTACTCGCCTTTTTGTGGGGGGGGGAGCATATGGTCCCTGTTGACCGCCCCTGGATCAGCAGGGGCACCCAGCTTTATGCAAATAGGCCCTTCAAGGACTGTGCTCAGTCTCACCACTGTCACCAGTGACATCTCAAATCCGCAAACCTTGTCATTGGGGACTTCAGCCTCATTTTGCATGGAAGCAGGTCAATCTAAGAACAATACCAGATTTCACATAAAGCAGTCATTTTGCCGGGACGTTGCCAATGAATCAACAGCCAGTCATTTCTGTCAGCCAGTGCCTGTCAGTCACAAATGCAAGGCCGATCTGTCGTTGGGTTCGCCGGTCCATTACAGCTGTCCTTTGTCATCATAATTCCCTGTAATAGGTTGCATTGTCATCCTAACTGTGGAGGCACTGGACTGTTTCCCACACACCAATATCACGGAGTACAATGGATTTTTTTTCATTGGCATTATTGCTGAAGAGTCATACAAGTTGTGTGAAAGGCGATGATTTGTAGCAATGAACAGACACAAGTAGGCTACTTGTATGACAGTCGTGAGTGGGGGGGGGGAAATCTGGAAAGTTGCCAATTTGTGAGGTTCTGATTTTCTGCGGAAACGTGCGGCATGTTTTTGGAGGGTGAGGCAAGTTTGAATGTAAAAGAAGAAAAGGAAAAATCTCCTGGGTGGACACGGGTCCTACCCATGTAAAAGTCACTGATCTTTTCACGCTACACCATTTGAACACGGCACTGACCTGTGTAGAGCACTCGACCCGTGTCGACACCAACCCTGCTCGGGAGGTGTGTTGAGAGCTCTCGACCCGTGTTGAGACGTCCGACACGTGTTGAAAGCCGTAGTGTGAACTCAAGTGGGTTATTGTTCGACCCTTGTAAATATCGTGCGGGCAAACTCACATGCATACTGTAGTTATAGGATGGCAACGAACAAACGAATTTACTTTGACCTGCACATGCCCTAATTTTGCGCTTGTCTTTCGTAATCGTACTGACTTTGATTTTGCTCTTACAACACACAGGTGTGATTCATAAAAGAGGGGGTCTTGTGAAAAGCTGTCAAGTTTTTATTCAACGATCCGATTCATTTCGCTTTGAAGCATGTGGATGATTGCTCCTAAATGTCGATTCTGCGATAGCAAAACTAGAAAATCATACCGAATTCCCCCCTTTTGAAAGTCAATTTTCTTATCAAAGACATTCAAGGTTCTTCACTGCTTGTATAATTCAATAATGCTTCCCGATGAGATAAACACACCTGCACTGTGTGGGTCCATCCCCTGCATAAGCATTATCCTGTCAGTATGCGTTTGACGTGATTGCTTCACATTAGCGGCATTTTGCACAAGAGTGCTGGAAGTTGCAGGGAGTTTGTCGAGCACCGGCCTTGATGGCTGGGGCAGACCAGGGCTCTGCTGTGGCGGCCTTAACCATGAACACGTGTCAGCTTTGGTCATCTGGTTTCCCAGCTTGGCAACTTTGGTTGTGCTCGTATATGACATCACTGTTCCGACCGAACGGGAACCAAAGGTTAGAGTCGGTTCATTGCCGGTCCAAAAGGACAGAAACTGAGAGTGCAAGTTGCCTTCGAAATAAGTGCATTTTGTATCTCCCAATCTTGTTGCTGGAAGCGAACAGCAAAAATAACCCCAAAGTAGAGTCGTGGAGGTCATAGGTCATCAACAGGCCAATGATTAAATTGATTAAAGACTTTTGGATAAAGCTGCTTCAACTCTGGTCATAAATGATTATATGTACCATGTTGACCTTTTAGATTAGTTTTGCTCATGACTGAAAGTACATCGTTTCTGGTCTTCTTGTCCTCAAAAAATGGGTCATTTCACAGTCACTCCAACTTTGCATGTCTTCTGCCCTTGTCTTTTCATCGTTCCTTCCCCAAGCATGGATAAAAATGTACATGTAGTTCCCAGAATGGGCAGCCTGAGTTATGCTTTTGACGAGGCGAAAGATGTTGATCAATGATTCTAGAATTTTCTTGATTGGGACCTGACAAATTTTTGATTTGAAAAAAAAAAAGCAAATACAACAGCTTACTAGAATTTCTATGATTATTGTCAAATTGTACGCAGTGTAAGTTGACCACTTGCACCAGTCTGTAGAAATGAAGATGAAGATAAGATCTTGGCCCTTAAATCACTCATTTTTTTTTGAGAGAGGCCAAAATAGTATCAGCGATACTATGACTTTATGATGACTTGGGTTTTTAAAATTTGTGGATAATCCCCCCCCACAATTTTTTCGAGACCTCTCTTGAACGAGGTTACTCATTTCAAAAATATACCTGTAGTATTGAACATGTACACGTGAGCCCTCCATGATAAGTCAAACCTTGATGTTCCAACTTTCCCACTGGAAGTTTGATATAATTAGCAGACACTGCCTATTGGATGCCGAGACGATTGAGGGGGATTGTGTATTTGGGGGACCCCCCCCAGTTTTTGGTCATTTCAAACTTGTTAAACTGATCAGCCCCCCCAAAAACCAAAGGAAATGCTCTCTTTATTGGGCTGACCCTATTTCTTGGAGTTTCAAATTGTAAATTGTGAGAAAATGTGACTTTCTTGCAGATAAACCAGCCATGCAAATTTGATTCCAGCTCACATCATGTGTTAAAACACTGATAGTTCCCCCCTCCTCATAATTTCCTTCAAAAGTCAAAACTCTGCCCTCTTTACACAAGATCAGCCCTACAGTCATGGAGCATGATGTGATAGTCATCCACCAAGGCGAATCCATATTGGTCTCCCTTGTGTTGCAGGAACGGGGTCCCTAAATATGTACATGTACAGTCCCGGGATTGAGTGCATTTTGCAGAAGCGTTGCAGGATGGCTCTGTGCTGTTTCCTTTAGGCACACGATGGCCGTGGGGATTGTCTGTTGTAGCCATCAGGGATGCGGAACATTCAAAATCCTGTCAACACCTGACATGCAGGCTACGGCTCCTGGCACCTTTAATAACGATGCCATCCAACAGTGGGGGGGAGGGTTTGGGAGAGGTGGTTGGCACATACATGTAGGGTGAGGGGAATTGGCAATTTCACCCCACCTGTTGCTGCTAATAGCCTTAGTCGGAGAGCCGCAGTGAGCCAGCTGGGGTGTGCAGGTAATTGTTAGCCCAGCCAGTGGAAGTAGCTTTCACTGTTTCAGGTTCCCAGACGTTACATGGAAATAACGAAAAAACAAAATGAAGAGTAGGGATCGCCGTACGTCATGCACAGTGAAGTTTTTTGTCTGGATCGACCACTTTCATGTCTACAGTGAACATTGTGCAACTGTGGCACTGCCGTGTTCAAGGTCGCTCTGTGACTCAAATCAGATTGTGATATTTATCACTGCTCTTTTCTCTACCACTGCTTGCCCCCAATTTTACATGTGACAAGTCCAGCCATACAAGACATACGATGGATGTTTGGAAACACGAGGAGCACATTGAGTGCCAGATTTGCCCCTGGATTTTTTTTTAATTGGACTCAAGAAACACCTTAGTTGGTGAAATTGTTTTCCAAAAGTGACATGTGCTCTTAATGCTGAGTGTGTATGTATTTCATCTCCTGGAAAAGTTGGTGGAAAGAATTGTTTGAATTAACCCTGGGGTCTCTTTGACACTGCATATTGAGGCTTTGCATGGTAGCCATCTTGAGAGGGAGTTGTTGTGTTCCACTGGGAAACCCCTTTGTGCATACCTGGCTTGAACAAAAGCACTGGCCCGCAAGATGGCAGCCATGCAAAACCCTCTGTTGCCTAAGCTTTTGCCTGGATGCTGTTTTTTCAAGTGCACAGGTGTTGTTCATCCACGCTTGACAGATATTCCTTTCACCACTGTCTCCAGTTTTCATTGCTGTTGGCATTTGACCACATCTATAAATTTGATACCATAAGACAGATTTTGCATTGTAACTATGCTGCTGTTTTTTTTCCCTGGTTTGATCCAGGTTACCAATCGTACAGGGTGGAACGTTCTCCTTCTTGGCGCCAGCACTGACGATACTCAACCAGCAAGGCCCATGTCCCTCCCCTCCGGCACCGGGCACACCCTGTGAGTAAAGCCCACCTGTCACCCTGTATCATTCGTCGATAGTCCAGGAGGAAACAATATTACGAACCAAAGAAGTAGCCGAACTACAGGGGGATTATGTGCCTCACCCACTACTTTTCAACTTTTTTTTGGGGGGGGAGGTTCTTTTCTTCTGTTTTTCTTACTGCATTTATTTATAAAATTTAAAGACAAAACTTTCTCCCAGATTTCCCCCAAAAAAGAAGGAAAAAGCCCAGCAGGTAAGTTCAGGTTTTGCATTCATTTGTGGGTGCCTCCCCTCTATGTGAATGCCGAAACCCTCACTGAAAAGACTCATGCTTGTTTTTTTTTTCAATCAGTCACATTTTTGTTGGCAAGTCCTGTTAGCAGGTGGCATTTACACAAAGTGGTTTAGCATCAGATAACACAAATCCCCAGGCTAGACCATCGGACCACTTGTGTCCAAATCCGGGTATAAAGCCAGGCCTTGAAATAGTTGGATTAGGTTCAAATCCCTCCCCTCCCCTTCGGCAGCTTTGCAAATTGTTCCCGACAGCATGAATTCAACCCTGCAATTTTTCAGATGACTCGTATTCTTTGCCCTTTAATGAAAGTCAGGACAGGAGCGCCCCCATTGAAGTAATGAAGGTTGGTTGGGGCAGTCCCATGAATAAACTTGTGTAGATTTCTTTGAATTTCCGTCGCCCAGAGTGAAGGCCTCATCATGAAATGGCTTTGTGCTGTTTAATAATATTGAAATAGTACTGTATACTTGCCTATGGATACAATGTGGTTTAGTAAAGAAAGCTCATGAAACACGTGGGAGTCGTCACTGTGATCTTGGAGAAAAACAAGTGGGTTTTTAGCTTGATCTTAGAAGTGTTGAGTGAGTGTTATGGATGGTTTGACATGTTTGAGGTAGAGAGTTCTAGCAGTGGGGGGGGCGGAAGCCGAGAAGCCCTGTCGCCCTGACCCCTGCCTTTTGAAGGTGGGTGGAACTTCTGCCATTGTTGCTGGAATGGAGACCACTGCGGTCGGGCACTAATTGAAGGGCTGACTTCGAAGAGCTTTAAACTTGCTGGGAATCATTCAAAACCAAGGCAGGAGCGAGGCTTGGATTGGATAGCAAACTACCTCTGTCCTTTCTTTTCTGACCTTAAACAATTGCCAGTCTGGGTTCCCAGTGGGAACTTGCTGTGTCATTGTAAAGATGGTCAGATGGGCGAGCAAGTCAATTTTCGCAAGTCTGAGTCAAGTCGCAAGAAATCTGGTCCAGTCACAAGTCGTTCAATCACTGGTCAAGTCACGTCACAAGTCAATTTGGTCTAAACACAAGCAAGTCGCAAGTCAAAAACTGACAGTTACAAGTCGCGTCAGGAGTCACAGAAATAGCGACTCGAGTCCGTCTGAAGTCCAATTGAATCAAGTGGATTGAGTCAAGTGGATTGAGTCCAGTGGATTGAGTCCAGTGGATTGAGTCCAGTGGATTGAGTCCAGTGGATTGAGTCCAGTGGATTGAGTCCAGTGGATTGAGTCCAGTGGATTGAGTCCAGTGGATTGAGTCTACCACTCTGCAGACGGTTGACTTTTCTTAGAATGCATATTTTCACACAAAGTCTCTGCGTGTACCTGCTGAAGTCATTAAACTCGGTCATCCTCCATCTGTAAGCAGTCCCGAAACCTATCTCGGCACCCCAGAGGATGTACATGTACAACCCAGTGTCAAAATTCCCAGGCACAAACAACTCAACAAACACAGCGACAATGACCACCTCCATCACCCCCCTCACAGATATCATTTACACACTCCTGGGTGGAGAGTTCTCAGCAAACAGGGGTAGAATGACATGCCTACTGGATTCTGGATTCATTGATGAGGAAGCGAGCATTACCACTGGCAGTGACCTATCCACCTGTTCGTACATTTATGAAGTTGTTTGTTTGGCTGCCTTTTTGTGCGTGGGCGGATGTTTGTAAGTGTGTTGGGGGAGATACAAGTTCCGACTCAGTCATAGGAGAGTTTTCCACCTGTACCCCTTGGGAACAGAAATTTGAATCCGGTAACATAAATTGCCGTGTTCAAAATGTTCTGCAGATTACACACAACTTCAGCCAGTCAGTAAAGAAGAAGACACAGCTGGCTTATCACTTGATATGTTTGCTAGGCCAGCAGACCAGTATGGATGACGCATACATGTATGTAAAAAGACCAGGGAAAAAAATTCAATTCTCTAGTGTGTCTGACAGGCATGTCAAATTACGCGTTCATTCACAATCCACGGTGTACTGTCTTCTCTCAGCAGCTGGTTTTGAGCGATAGTGTAGTGACTTTGGGTGAAACATCCTGGCAGAGGTGATCACCCCTAAAACGAGTTTAGATGCTTGTCACCATTTGGGAAAAAAATCCAGTACTTGAAGTACAAAGCAGAGAAACATAAATAACTTTCATTTTCTAAGTTACAGGATCGCCGTTGGGTTTTAGACCTCAACAGACTTCATTCATGGGTCGGCAAGTTTGAATTTTAAAGCCACGTGAACTCTCCATTTGAGAGTAAAAATAAAAATACCTCAGTGTTTTAAGCCAGATTTGGAGCAATTGAAAGGCAAATCTCAGAACGCATGGCAATCGTAAGATAGTCTGCTGCCCAAATCAGCAGTTTGAATACAATTTATAAAACAGAATCAGGGAGCAAGGTCGATAACGGCTTGCTCCCGAGATTACTACGTCTGTTGGACCCTCAAGTGTTACAAAGTACCCCCAAAGGTTTTGAGCCACAATACCTCCTTATGAGATTATTAGATTAAAGACACGGAAACTATGGTTCAGCTCACATGGGCAGTTTTTGGGCCCGTTTACTGGCCTCCAACCTCTGTTGAAAAGGAGCACTCCCAAGAACAATACCAGCAATACAGGATGGATTATGGAGCTTGTCTGACACCTCTAAAACGTCATTCTAATCAGTTTTAATATCATTCTGTTAAATTGAAGGGAAATCCTCTGTATGTTGCTCTCAACTTTTGTCTGTGTACAGCTGCCATCAATGCATCATTTAATGGGTCTGAGGATTACACCACCATGCCGGCAACGACGGTCGCCTTCGACGACGAAGAATTCTGGCGGCGGCGAATGAGGGTCGTGCAGGGGTCAATCATGATAGCGTCTGTGGTGGAGGTATGAAAAACAACCTTACAGTTCCCAATCTTGAACGTTTCTGTGGTACATGTTTGTCTTGTGATTTATATTAAAAATGTTGCTGACAATTTTGTTGTTTTTTGAAATTTAACTAGCGTTACTTTTTATAACCCGAGTCCTACTAAATCTTTGAACCAGTTATAATCCTTGATCCAAGTTCTGAGAGTTGAGTCGACAAAAGCACCAAAAAAACTTCCATTTCCTGCCTCCTCTGTAAGTGTAAATAAAATTTTGTGATAACGTTTTAGGGAGTTGTCGTTTCTTTTTCTCCTGTTTCTTCTACTCTCAACTGGTTATTTTATAATGTTAAGACGAGAAATTTCACCCAGATGATACAAATATGCCCCACCTGCAGTGTCCATTCCGAGGCCTCCCCCGGTTTGCCCGCTTCTGATAACCGTAATTCCAACCTTGATGGACTCGTTCCTTCTCCAGGTGATTGTCGGTTTCACCGGTATCGTCGGGATCATGCTGCGATTTATCGGACCGTTGACCATTGCCCCCACCATCACTCTGATTGGTTTGTCGTTGTTTGATGCCGCCATCAGCTTCAGCAGCGGGCACTGGGGCATTGCATTCCTGTAAGTCCCCCAACCTCTCTCAGCAACTTTTTGTCCAGAGTAGTGGAGGATGTGTCGACATGTTAGAAGGTCATATTGAGGGGGAATGAAGTGTTAGAAACTTTTTGCGCCGAGCTCATTTGTCCATGTTGATTCTGCTGGGCCGGGTGATTTTTCATTTGTTTTCTGTTTTCAAAATTCTTTCAAATTCATAGCTTCATTTACTTGACGTTTACACCCACACAAATGACTGTGTGGCGGCTACTCTAGTCTTACAGATGACATCTATCGACCCTGGAGTATTTCAGCCAGACCTGCCGCCGTGTAAAAAGAGCCCAGATTGTGCGGTGTTATGTAATTTTCTTTTGTTCCCGAAACTGGCACAGTGCGCTGCTGATGTCTTTTCAATAGGGGCCAGATTAGCGTGCAGCAGTATTGTACCACAAAAAGTGGTATATTCTTTTAAAACAATAAAGGATTTCTTCCGCTATTGACAACCGAAAAGAGTTGGCAATTCCCAGAAGCTCGGTCTTTTGTTACAAGGTCCAGCTCTGTTGTCCAAGTTCAGGCAGCCCAGTGTTGCGTATAAAGAAAACGAATGCGAAACCGGGCTCCCCGGTGCGAAGTGGTTAGAGGTAGAAATGGTTTTTCACTTAACCTTCATCCAAGCGAGGGGGGAGAGGATCAGTGGGATGCTGGACACTGTCTTTTATAAAGAGGCATTCAAAGTGGACGGTATTGGACAATAAGGGACACTCTCCATTTTGCCCTGTATTTCTGATTTTCGGTGCTCATTCGTACAGGGCAGTGACTGAGTGTGCTTGTGGAGAAGGGCACACGTGGGGTGAGGGGATGGGCACTTGTTGCAAATTCTTGGAAGGGAGGGGTTTAAAATCTCCCTACCCCCCATGGATGCTGGCATGGTTTTGCCCTCTTACCGAAGAGTGCACCGGGTAATTTGACACGATTTGTACTTGGTTGGTTTCTTCGTTCTTTCATTTCTGTATCTTTCTTTCATCTTTGTCGGAGGGTTGTCGGACAAATCTGTGATTCCATGCGGCTATTTTGTTTTACCGCGGTTGTAGGACCATAGCCTTGATGGCGCTGTTCTCTCAGTACATCGCCCGGTTCACCCTCCCCTGTCTGGGCTTTTCCCGAGAGAAGAAATGCCACCGAGTCAGCTTTCCCCTCTTCAAGATGTTTCCTGTGAGTACCGACAGTCTCTGTTCATTTGCACCATGATCCACCAAACTTTGGCTTTGTAGATTGTAACTCAAAAGGTTAGTTCTGGCCAGTGCCAGATCATCCAACAGGCACTGGACGCAGGGTGTCTAGGGCCTATGGTAAATTAAGGTGGTGTGTGAAAAGTTTGAGGGCCTACGAAGTTGGACTCGTGATAGACACAATTACAGCAGTGGCAGTTTGAATTTAATTATTTTGATGGATGATGATTGTCTTTGTTTGTGAGACTTTTTTCTTTTTTCGGAGGCAATTTCTCTTCGGCATTTTGTATTTGGTGTGAGTCTCTTAAACTTTGCTGGGAATTTTTGCTGTGCTTGTTTCCAGGTGATCTTGTCAGTTCTGATAGCCTGGGCCTTCTCCGCCATCCTGACGGCGGCCAACGTGTTTCCCACAGACCCCGATGCCTACGGCTACAGCGCCCGCACCGATTTACGCATCGGGGTCTTGGAAGAGTCCGCCTGGGTCAAGATTCCTTATCCCGGTAAGTCCTTCGAGAGCCCCCCAAAATTCTGTCAGCGTCAAGACTCCATGCCTTTGAACTTCTCATGTCCTTGGGAGAACCCTTCGAGAAGAATCGAGGTTTCTCTTTCTTGCCCTGTCTGATTTTCCAAAAATCTGCTTGAATCATGATTTCTTATTCTAAAAGTCCTCCACTTACCTTGAAAGTAGCTGCTTTCAGTAAAGATTCCCAGTCTTGCATACTAAGTCTTGTTTGGCCTTGGGAAGAAAAGTCTTCCCGATTGAGATTCTCTGTCGTTGCTGTCTGCCTTCAAGATAACCTTAGCCTGGTAAGACCTGTGCAGCATTGGGAAAAAGTGCAATACGTCAAAGTTCCTTGTCCAGTAAATCCTCCACTTTCCTAGAATCCCAGTGAGTACAATTAGTGAATTCTTTATTAGTTGCGTCCGAAACTGTGTGCTTCAAAATTCGTTTCATTTCAATTCAAGTCATTTTTTTGGCTAAAAGCTCTCTTAGTAGCTAGGATCATCATCATTATCAAATATTGTTGGGCATGTGCACGAAGTTGCATGTTCTTTTACTTTACATCCCTGGACAAAGATGCCGAGAAACTGGGACAAGTTATTGCTGGCAAGCTCAGGTAGCACGGCACAAATTTACTGGATCACATCTCGGGCAAATGCATAAGCCGAGTACATTTGACATGAAAGAAAAGTTGCCCGTCAAATTTACTTGAGACTCCTGTGAATTTGTAATAAAAATGTATGATCCGATGTTACAAAATGATGGACGTGTTCGCTTTCGTGCCGAGTATATGAACCGATGTCTAGATTGGAACTGTGAGTAATTTTTTGTTTGTGGTTGCCTTTCTTGCAGGTCAGTGGGGCGTGCCCACTGCCACCATCGCTGGCGTCTTCGGCATGCTGGCGGGTGTGCTGGCCTCCATCTTTGAGTCGGTCGGGGACTACTACGCCTGCGCCCGGCTTGCCGGAGCGCCCCCGCCCCCGGTCCACGCCATCAACCGTGGCATCGGCATCGAGGGCCTGGGCTGCATCCTGGCCGGCGCGTTTGGGTCGGGGTCGGGAACGACTTCGTACGGGGAGAACATCGGAGCACTGGGAATCACAAAGGTAGCAGCAGTGGCTCGAACTATGGCTTTCAAAGCACTATGTAATTAACACTGCCACAAAACACACAATGAAAAGTATGAGCCTCTTAAAAGTAAGAGCTGAATGTACATTTTGGGGTGAAACCCGACGCCGACCGCAGGCGACATTTCTTCAAACTTCAGCCTCCCATACAAATAGGTGAAATGAAAGAAGGTTATCGGATCCAATAACTGTAAACTGTGACCTTCAAAATCTATGTGAACGGAGTTATCCTTCACTACAGGGAGATCTGCTAGAGTTTGATCTTTCGAGCGCCAACAAGTCCCTGTATTTCGTGTCACCTGTGGTTCTTTTGCCCCACTAGGTTGGCAGTCGTCGGGCCATCCAGTACGGGGGCATGCTGATGATCCTCATGGGGATGTTTGCCAAGTTTGGCGCCCTCTTTGTCACGATTCCAGACCCCATCATCGGCGGCATGTTCTGCGTTATGTTTGGTGAGTCGGCGCCTCCGACTGAGCAAGGGCTGTTCTGCTTCTGCACACTTTACGCCGCTTCGGGCGCAAACTACTTCTTGCACTTGGAAAAAGAAGCCTCAGGCTTATTTAACAGATCTGTATCTGTGTGCTTGGCAGAATGGGTTACCAGCTAAATAAAGTGCCATTCCAAGTACATGTATTGTCCTTTAAACTGGTTCTCTGCACATCTGCAAAGCAAAAATTGCTTTGCCAAAAAAACCCAGTTACCAGCTGAACTGCCATGCACAGTGTAGCATTTTGAGTGACCGACTCTCAGCTCATGTCTGCTGTAGCACGTAAGTTTGCTCAGCAGAAGTAGAGGAACTGCTTTGGCGTGAAGTGGTTCTTTACTCTCGTATTGACTTCGATTCCCAGCCCCGTCTGCATTTTGGGATTGGGTTTTCAATGATCCCAACCACCTGATGCCGTGGATCCAAACCCCAGAATATAATCCTCTAGGGTTCCCCGCCCCCCCCCAGCAGTAAAATTATAATGGCATACTATTCTTTGTCTCCTTTCAACAGATTTCTTCAGGCTCATGAGCCACAGTGCCTGGGGCGCTTTTGAGGATTCTTAGGCTTCTTACCAGAAACGCTTAATGATATTCATGTGATGTTTATTTTGTTAGCAATGGTGGCAGCCGTGGGCATCTCCAACCTCCAGTTTGTTAACCTCAACAGCAGTCGCAATCTCTTTGTCATCGGCTTTTCCCTCATCATGGGCTTCATCATTCCAACGTGGGTCAGGGCTAACAGAGATTTCTTCAAAACAGGTGAGTGCGAGTAAAAGTAGGGGCGTGTCATCTCTAGAAATTATAGAGAACATTACAAAGGGTTGTTTGACCACTGTATTTACTAAAAAGGTGGAACCTTTGCATTTGTTACTGTGGTTGTGGACAGGAGACTTGAAATATTTCTGTAGCAAAGCGTAGAGACATTTGCCTCTGGGAACTTGAAAAAGATCTTGGCTGAACTTAGTCAAGGCCTTTTCCA